CACACACACACACACACACACACACACACACACACACACACACACACACATTCAAACAGCATTTTTATCTGTACTTGAGCACTGTTTATCTGACATTCACACACACACACAGACCCCAGTTGATGGATTGGGGACAACTGGGGTTAGTATCTTGGCAAAGGATACATTAACACATGTAGTGGAGGAACAAGGGATAAATCTACCAACCTTCTGATGTGTAACTAGTGTGCAAACTCACAGATATAGATGTTTCTATATATGTATAGCTAAATGTGTATATTTGATGAGCACTTTCATACACACCTATTATGACTGTGATGTCCAAGACTCCACTAACACTGCACATTTCTTCCAGGCAGAGGATCTAGTTGCCAATTTTTTCCCAAAGAAGTTACTGGAACTTGACCATTTCCTCAAGGTCAGTTAATTGTACATTCAGCTAAATAAAGTTGGCATAATTTAAAATCTTTGTGAATAGTTGAAACTCATTCCTTCCGATGTATTATTTGGCGTTAAAGTTCATTATTTATTAGTCAGTCTTTATCAGTTGTCCAGAGTTAAAATAGTAACACCCAGGTGCTGTTAAACAAATTCACTTTACGAACTGGTCTTCAGCAAACATGAACATCTCTATAAAAGCAAACCATTTGAAGTCCATCATTTTCCAGTGAGGGAGGTTGCTCACAAGAGGAAAACATTGAAATGGCTGGTAATAATCGCAGTTAACTCACCCCCAAGGTCACACTATACAATGTTCAGATGTAATTTTTGTAAGAGTTATATCTCTGACTTTACAGGCCTCAGTTAGAATGTGAAATGTTAAAGTGCATGACAGCACAATTAAAGACCGGACTAGTATGGCTTGTTTGTAAGATTTGCTGGGAGAAGGCTCTTCAGCCACAGGACCTGGCCACCTTCCAGTCACAGAGTCGACCATGAACTCCTCTCTGTCCTAAAATAGATTCAGATGTGAGGCCATCTGTTTAACAGCTAAAGTTGGGTCACAAAAGACAATGATCTTCAACAGAATGAGTGAAAAAGAGAGAATAAGGTGTTTTGTGTGGCAGGGATTTATGAGACTGTGTATTAGTAAATAGCTGCAAACCTTAATGAAGTGAAGCAGCATATAAAGAGTGGGCCAAAATTCCTCCTGTGAGAGACTGATATCATACAGAAAACCATTCAGGTTGTTGCTGCTAAAGGTGGTTCTACAAGCTATTGAATCATGGTGTGGTCTTAGTTTTTTCTCACACTGCTTCTGTCCTATCGCTTGGTTATTGTTGACTACATAATGACATAATCATTTGAAGTCTTGTACATTACTATATATGTCACTACATAAGTCATATGTAGTTCTTCTGTGTTTGTATTCATCAGTTTTTTCAAACCTTCTAGATCATCTTTTTTGATGTCCTGACATGTGAAATAGATTAGATTTGGCAGCAGATGTGCTTTCTTCTTACCATGTCTGTATATTTATATTTGTACCATGTCTGACAACTAATATTCTCATTTTTTTTCAGGATCCAAGCATAAACATCACTGAACTGAAGGAAATTCACTCAGACATAAATCTGCCAGTGCCAGATCCCATCTTGTTCTCAAATCTCCACGACGGACTAGATGCGGTGAGGATCCATTTTAGAGTTCGATTTCGTATGGTTACGGTAAATGTTGGTAAGGCAAGGATGAGAAGTTGTTGCTAACTGTTGCATCTCTCTCACAGCAAAATGCCAAAAAGAGGAAGCTGGAGGATGGAAGTGGGGATGACATGGGTAAGTACAGCTTTGCTAGCTGAATATTTAGTCTGTATTTTATGTATTTTTAACTTTTAACTTTTTACTCCTTTATCAGTGACTGGCACCAAGGTCTTTGTCATGCCTGATGGGATGATGAAGAGTAATGCAAACCTTGTTGATCTTATTGAAAAGGTCAAGCCCGAGATCAGGACACTCATAGAAAAATGTAACACAGTAAGTAAGAGCTCTAAAGTCCTTCATCTAAGTAAGTTATTTTGGCCATTTGGCATCCCCAGCAAGGAGCCATGAACTTACAACAAAGCTAGGAATGTGTGACAAATGAAGGCTTACTAATGAAACAGGAGAAGCAAGGCACAGATTTAAGAGTTGGGACCGAAAACAAGCAAAGGGTATTGAATTTGTTCTTTATATAAGATGACTATCACATGCTCGGCATCAGCTAAAATGCTGTTGGCGTAAAAGTGTTTACTTGTCAGATGTTGCATCCTCTTTTCTTAGCTATATTTGTCTCTTTCTGCAGGTTAAAATGTGGGTTCAGCTCCTCATCCCGAGGATAGAGGATGGGAACAACTTTGGGGTGTCAATCCAGGAGGAGACAGTAGCTGAACTCAGAACAGTTGAAGGGGAGGCTGCATCTTACCTCGACCAGATATCAAGGTTTGCAGAACCTTGCAGAAATCCCAATCTCATATGAACACCCCGGCTTTGGGATTTGTCTTTAAAATGTGAAGTCGCTTTCATGTTAAGAGACCATTTTTGTCTTTCTTCCCTACTTCCAGATACTACATCACAAGGGCAAAGCTGGTTTCTAAAATAGCAAAATATCCACATGTGGTAAGTGAATAGCTTTAGTATTAGAAAGTAAAAAGCTATATAAGTTATACTACAGAAGTCTATCAAATGCTAAGAAATTAACTATTTTTTTTAAACAATTTCTTTCATTTAAGAGTTTTTCCTTTATACATATAAACAAAAGGAGAAGAGAAGGATTACAGATGATTTGTACATTTGGGATAATTAACCTATACACTTACAGCTGTAAAATAACTATTTGCATTTTTTATAAGAAATATTGAAAGAGAAAGCCTTTAAAAATATGTGGTCTTTGGTTTTAGGCTGTAAACGATGACATCTAGTGGTTTACAACATATATAGCAGCCAGTTGCAGCTGGCCCTCATGCCACCCTCATGGAGTCAGTTTCTGACTGTTAGATCATTAACATCCAAACCAGTGGCCCACTCAAGGTCTTTTTGTAAAGGCTGTGGCAGTGTTCTTCCTCACAGAAAGGAGCAGATGTAAGTGCTGCTGAGTTTAAAGCAGAGTGTGTTTGTATATCTGGAAGAATTTAAAGCATGTGTATGAAACAATTTTTGTATCGGTCACCCTTGAAAAAGATTTTAATCTCAAGGTGCATCGTGGTTAATTAAAAGTTGATTAAAATGTCTTGTTGCAAAATTGAAAGTTCTTATTATCAATTATCCTTTAGTGAAATGAAAAACTCTGATATCAGCCTATCTGCTAAAATTTCCACTGACTTCGGCAGTTCTGTTTTATATTTAAAAGAAGATGTACAATTAAAAATAAACATAGAATCAACTTTTTTAAACAGGAGGACTATCGGCGCACAGTAACCGAGATTGACGAGAAGGAATACATCAGTCTGAAAATCATAGTTTCGGAGCTCAGAAATCAATACGTATGTTGTGGCCTTCATTATTTATCAGCATCTATTAATACTTGCCTGCGTTCAGAAAGCAGAATAACCGATATGTTTGCTTGTTTCCAGGTAACGTTACACGACATGATCCTGAAGAACATCGAGAAGATCAAGAGGCCTCGAAGCAGTAATGCTGACGCTTTGTACTGATGTTCATCCAGCTGTCTCTGCATCCACCCACCCACCCCACGCCGTCTGCCCCCTCGTCTCTTCACCATGCCTGTTGAGCAACAGTAGCCGGGCCCCGGTCCGCAGGACTACAGCTAGACATTCACCTTCTCCAATACAATCACAAGACAGCCCAATACAAAGACATAGCTTCTATAGATGGACACATGTTTTGTTTTGTTTGTTTTAATTGTAAAATATTGTTTTTAAACCGTTTGAAGAGTATTCACTCAGAAAATGGGGAGACAGATCATAAGCCCTTTTCAGACGTGCGCCAGATATCATTGCTATTAAACTGATGGCAGTCTGTCATGCACTCATCAATTTTGTGTTAATGTTCCTCATGTTTGTTCGTAATTTACAGAGAAGTTCTTGTATGCATGCGATATGTGGCAGCTAGTATTATCAGTATAAGCGGTGAAGTGTCACCACACTTGCAGCTCTTTCTGAGTGCAGGGCCTCTGTGTATGTGCAAGGAGCTGTACCCCGTCATTCCCACTCGGGCTCGGAAAGGATAAAACTCTTTCCTGGGTTAGTAATCCCAGATGAATGATTTAATTGGTGCTGATGAGATAAAATACTATTAAAATGGTCTTATTGCCGTTCAGGACCTGCGCATGCCTGCTACCGCATGAATTCAGGATTTTGCAGAGTGAATAAAAGTGTTAAGCAGTCTGGCTCGGTCAAGTTAAGATGGCTGTTTATTTGAAAAGTGCATGTCTGAAAGGGGCTTCTGATATCAAAAAGCGCTTTGTATTTTTTAATTTTAATTAAACATTTTGTCCTCAGATCCTCGTGAACGGCCTCATTTGTAGCTCTTAAATATTCAGAGCAAAGTGGTTTGTCAATATTGTTGCCCATTATTTGTAACTGTTTTAATTATTTTGTCTTATATTGGACTCCTGCTGCATCATCAGTACAGTAGTTCATAGGAAATGCAAAACATGCTGTTAATTTGTTCTGCGAATGTTAGACATTGCGACGTGTAGATATCACAAAATATGAAAACGACGCAAGTTTTAAGTCGTGGGCTTAAATGATTTCAGTGAAAATTCACGAGTCAAAAGCTTCTTTTATGTTGGAGCATTCATTGTATTGAATAAAAGACTGTTTTTTGATAAGACTTTTGGAGGCATGTTGTAGGGTTTTGTTTTGTTTTTTATTTTTGTTTTGAAGTTTGAAGCAAAACATCAGATAGTGGTGTGACATGGATACAATGTTTCCTCTTGACCTGCAGATGTCGCTGTTGCTTGTAAGTGCTTGCTAGTTTAAGCCAAGGTGTAAAGGTCCCGACTTTTGTGTGTTTAAATATCAAATCCTTCGTCCCATGTGCATTTATTTCACACAGAAGTCAGCATCCCAAATATATATAAACGCAAATCCACAGTTTAAAAATTAAAGATCAAGTGGTGCTTAATGGAATCACACTGAATGGGTGTCAGATAGGAAGGTTTTGAGGCAACTTTACTCACATGTTAAGCAACTCAAAACTTGAGATTCCTAAAATTTAACTAACCAGCCGATTATGATATTATAGATTAATTGGCTACTTTATTAGCCGCACTTTTTCAACTTCTCATTAAGAGAAATATCTAATCAGACAACTGCATTGCAGCAACTCGACACTTTCAAGTATGCAGACATGGTCAAGAGAGCCAATTGAAGTTCAACCTGATTATCAGAATTGGGGGCGGGATCATTTAAGCAGCTTTGAATGTGAATGTTGATGCTACACAGGCTGGTCTGAGTATTTCAGAAAGTGCTGACTGCTAGGCGGTTCCTACACAACCACCTCATGTTTACAGATGATGACTGAAAAATAGAAAATATCCAGTGAGCGGCAGTTCTGTTGGAGAAAATGCCAAAGGTCAGAAGAGAATTGAAAAGAAACTGAAATAACTCCTTGTAATAACCAGGTAGAAGAACATATTGAACCTTGAAGCTGCAGCAACAGCAGGAGATCGCATTGGTCAACACTCCTGTCAGCCAAGATTGGGGAGTGAGGCTACAGTTCACAGACTGGAAAAACATTTCTGCTGCACATAGTAAGGTCAGAATTTGGTGCAAACATCATAAAAGCATGGATCCAGCCTACCTTATGGTTCAGGTTGACGGTGGTGATGTAATCAATACCTGAGCATTGTTTCTGACCATGTCCATCTTTTTATAACCACAGTGACCCATCCTCTGATGGTTGCTTCTAGCAGGAGAACGCCCCGTGACACAAAGCATGTGTTTCGTTTTTTAAATTATTTATTATGGCATTTTTTTAGCCTTTATTGATAGAGAGACTCTGAAGTTAGACGGGGAAGCAGGCAGAGATAGAGGGGAAGAGATGTAGTTACAGTTTTGTGTTTGTCATTAGCTTTTTTAACATTTGGTATTGTTGAGGTATTGTTTTTACTTCTGTTTAGTTTTGATTAATTAGTTCAGTTTGTATTAATTTGGTGCTAGTTTTAGGTTTAAGGCATAATATGGGAATTGTATATGTCAGAGGTAAGTCTTACACACTTGCACTCTTTGCAGTTAGACTAATACCCAAAGTTTAATGCTTTTCGTAACTTTGAAGCACCTTTTATTCCGACGCTTCTTTTTATTTATTTATTTGGTCCAGAGCTGCATCTTTAAGTAAATATAGAAAAGGTTATGTGAGGATGAGAAGATATTGAGGAGAACAACCAAGGCGAGCTGATTATTGTGACTGTAAACTAATGTAAACAGTTACTCAACGTCCCTGACGTAGTTGTGAGGTCTATACCCTCTGTCCCCCTGCCTCCTAGTCACACAAACGCAATGCAGCGTACCTGTACAAAGAACTCCCATATAGCTTCTTGAGATAAGAACCGGAAATAACTAGAACAGCGTAAGAAGACAATGAGATAAAATGATCAAAAAAGGAGCACTTGGCGTTTGCTGGTGGGATGTGTCGTGATAATCACTGGGTCCTGTTAAGATTAAGTGTGATTTATTTTGTAAAACAGTGCAATGCTGATCAAACCTTTTAGGCATGATAACGTGGGGCTGTTCTCAAAAACAATGCCAGTCTCTATCTGCTTTAAGTCTCCTTATTAAGTCTCCTTATGTAATCCCAGACTGGCTCCATGATGTTTAGATCTACGAGACTTAAGTTATCTGATGCAGGACTTCATGCCCAGCAAAGTTACCACAGCGACTACCTTCAGTTTCCTACTTTTTCTCATTACCACAGCAACTTTAGGTGACCTATGATTGCATTCAGTTGGACTTTACGTTGCAGTTTCACAATGTAATTAGCAGTTTTATAGAGGTGTGTCTGTGATAATATGATAGTGACCTTTGTTTGCAATCCTGCTGATCTCAGTACCATACATCCAAAGCTGCTACGATAGTTCGTCACCTGAACAAGGTTCTATTTTTAAAGCCTTATGAGGCCCACGTGTTGTCGGCAACGCTTTCTGCCCCTTGACCCTTCATGTACCTTTGAAAGCGCATGGCTGTGGTGCGAGGCAGTGTCACTATGTGGGACTGCCGAGTGAGTGGAGCATGCTCTGGTTAATATTTAATGGTTGTTCTGGCCAGAGAATTAATCAGTATCAGTCTGAGACATACTGAGAAAACTGCCAGGGCTGCACCGCACTTCTCAAATAAGCACGAAAACATGATTACAAGAAACAGTTTTTATTTGTTTAAAAAATACTTTTTTTGCTGAGGTGGTGGCTGCGTGTATGTGTAAAAATCTTTATCTCATATATACTGTGGGTGTTAAAGAAGCTTACAATATTACAGACACTGAAAAGACAGTTCTAAACATGAAAACATGACTAAATGTAATTTGATGGACAAAAATAAACCATTGCTCAATTTCAAGGAGGTTAATTGTAATAATTGTAGCAGAAGTCCCAATAAGACCATTTAGAAAACAATTATTAGAAAACATTTGTAGAAAATGTTCATATTTTACTTAAACCCAGCTAAATTAGAAGGCTGCTAGCACTTTGTAGATCCAGGAAAGATTGAGCTTAGCTTAGCATATCCAAAAAAACAAGACCACTTTTTGTGTTTTACTTTTACCCTTTCTTGCTCATACCGTGAAGGGGACGCTTCTTATTTCTTCAAATTGAACAAATGTGGTCTATCAGTGAGCTTTACAGCAATTATCTGAAAGTGCTAGTTGGGTGTCTACGTCCTTTTTCTGTCCCTAAGTAGTCTAGATTCTGGGAATGGTAACATCCAATTAAATGTTATTGTTCCAATCAGTAAAGTAGCCTTTTCCCTCTGCTCCTAAATGGTAACAAGGCCAGCACAATATCTTCAGACATTCCAAAAACTCTATAGCAAGTTTCATAGATATGGAGTTAACCTAGACCCAGATTAAAACAGAAAAAAAACAGTGAACAGTAAAGATGAGGCTTAATCCATGTCTATTAAAAATGAGAAGTAAGAATCCTTGTAAATATAGAACATTAATCCTCCAGTTGCCTTAAAGCTACAAGTTTTTGCCTTCTGTCTTTACAGGGTAAATCTTGCTGAGAGCCCAAGGCACCAAAGTAGTTGGGATTAAAAGTGCAACGGCACTTTTACCAAAGGAAAGGGCATAGAAAGTCATATGGTTTTCAGGGGAAAATGTCCATCCATCTAACAGGTGAAGCAGGGATACAGAGATGACAATACATCCAATCCTCAAAGGGGCGCTCATAATCCTCATCTTGGTTGTCTTGTAGAACGGTGAGTGCAGACCGAGGCCCAGACCAAACAGGCTGCCCATGTTCCGCAGGAGGCTAGCAAAGGGGGCAGAGTCTAGGTGAACCCACTCTGGCCTGATGCACCACTTCTGGGCTTTCTCCATGGTCCACAGCAGGTCCACATCCAGAGCTTTAAGGAGCACATAAAAGCCAACAGCAAAGGAGGTGAGGAAGAGGGTAATTAAGAAGTACTTCTTCAGGCTTGCGCTGTAGATCCATTTCTCCTTGGAAACAACTTCAGCTACCAGTGTGCCTAAGACGAAAACAGACAAGGTGGTTTATTAAACAGGGACAATGCGTAACATGTACACTCAATAAAACAATATTTGAAGTTAAAATGGTCTAAATATATCATATTTTTGTAATTTTGAGATTGCATTTACACCTGAGCCATATTTTAATTCTTCTTCTACAATATTTCTTTGTTTGATCTTTGGCATTTGCTCCTAAAAATATGATATTGGTAGTTGTAGGCTACATAATCACTCAGTAAACTTAATTTCCAACCCTCGCAAAATGTTTTTATGAAAATTCTGCACATCAAAGTCTTTGTAAAAGTCAACACTTTATCGACTAGAGTTCTTTAGATGGACTGACCTGTAATGATTCCTGCAATAACCTGGTGTGGGAAGTGAGCAGCCATGTAGACCCTGGAAATGCATACCACCAGCTCGACCAGGCCCATTAGCATCCACAGGCCTATATACAAAAATCTGACAGGGACAACACTGTAGGTGCACAGAACCTAAAGACTCCAGAGAGCCAGAAAAGGTGATTGTATTAACACAGACTCACCTGTATAGCAATGGGGGGCACTGTTTTTCTCTTGCAATAGAGAGCAGTGCTGTTACCATGACATACCAGACACCAGCTGCGCCCATGGCATGACCTGAAGGACTTCCTGCAAAGAAAGAAATTGGGCTTAGTATTTTCTAATTTCTAATTTAGAGTGAAAACCGATCAGTCGGTTCTTCATCTATCGTGACGACCAATCCTCGTCAGACTGGTGACCAGAATAAGCGCAACACCAAGTCTGAGGTGGTTTGAATATGTCATATTTTGCTGAAAGTTGTTGGTATCTTTTATCTTTTTCTTTCAGTTTCCAGAACGTTTAATATGTTCTGGAAACTGAAGACTGAAGAAAAACACTTGCACCTTGTTACCTTCCCTTCTACTATTAGTATGAGGACAGAGATCTCTCAAAGAAACTGGAGCAAGATAAAAGGCACTACAAGTTTATTACCTATTTATCACCATTAAAGTCATACCCATTCACAGAAAGTCGTGTACAGTTGCCAATTGTTACAGCTATCACCTGGCAATGATGTACTGGAGTATTTATCAGACTAATTGTGTACTGTGCCAAATAAATCTTATCATTCTATTATGACAGACTAGTTCTGTTCAGTTTTCATGCGGTCCGCATGCCTGTCATGAGCTCTACCTGGTCCAGTTTCACATGTGATGGGGAACTGCTGGAGTGAAGGGGCCGGTCCTGCTCCATAAAACTTGGTCTCGTGAACCCACCAATAAGGTCTTTCCCCAAATAGAACCCTGCCACAGTGAAACAAAAAAACAGGAAACGAATCATGCAACCGTTCCTTTTTTTAATGTTTAAGTTTTAAGTTTAATTCAAGTTGGACCCGTTCACCCAGTTACCATTTTAGGACCAAGTTGAGCCAGTCTCCGATGACAGCCACCCAGATGAGCCTGAGTGCCGTGTCCCTCCGCAGGTGGAACCAGATCGGGAACAACCAGAAGAACGTGGTGTGCAGATCGGCCACTGTGGATGCCAGGTCGAACAAACCTTCATATTTGCCATATCTGGTCTGCAGATAGACAGCCAGCTCAACGCCCCAGCTGTGTAGAAGATCCATGATATCACAACCCAGACCTCTTTCTGAGGACGATGCTGTGAAAATATTGTCTCTTTATTGGGTTTTTTCTTGGTTAGGTTTCAGCAAAGCTCTTTGAGGCCGTCCTGTCCGTTCTTCCACTGAATGATTCCCACTGGACTTTACTCAAGGCTAGCAAGTTTGTTTAACTTTGCAACGGTGCAGACAGGTCACTTAACCTTTACACCTCAGGGGGCCCCCTTGCTCAAAGCTATCGTAACAGAAAGCAACAGCTGCCCATGGACAGATTGCAGACTTCTAGCAAAGACCCGTTATCTCTACTTGTGCCTGAACCCCAATGTGAGAAACAACAAAATGGTTTTGAACTTTTCGTAAACATATCTCTGGAAACAGAACAAAATATGAGCTCATCTGTGCAGATGTCCCCACCAGACCTTTCTTTCATAAGAGTGCAGTACCTTATGTTCCACCTGCTATCTATTTTTTTCTTTTTCTGTTTTGTCACCAACTATCTCATCAGCTTTGTTTCATCCCAAACTCACTCATTTAATCATTGATCTTCTTATGTAATATAGAAATAGCTTACTCCATCATTCTGAATGGCGGCATGTTTTCACTAAAAAAATCAATGACATTACTGATAAATTATTAGTGAGAATGTGCAGAATGTGAGAATGTAAGAAGGGAAAATATGAAAAACACGGCTATCCTTTATTAATGCCAAAGTCAAAGCCATGTGGACAAAAATGAAGAAGACGAAGATGACATTTAAAAATAGTCTGTGGGGCAGCAGAAAAAAAATATCTCTGCAAAGTGTTTAATTTGGGTCACACTTGAGGAGGACAGCCACTGATCGATTGACTTCCTCTCTCCTGTGACTCTCTCTGTACAGTGATTCTAAGATACTGATTGACGTTTTGTTTTCCTGTTATCTTCCCAACTTGTTTGTGTGACATGCCTCCCAAACTCTAGTGACTGCCAGTGTTTTATTACACATGCGTAAGGTCCAAAGATCAGCGTGTGCATGCGTTTGGGTAGTGGGTCCGTCCACTATAAAAACAGCCAGCTGTCTCGCTGATAACAGCACTCTCTGTTCTTCCACTCACACATCACTAGACTGAGATTTCTTCCTCTTAACGCTAAGATGCTTAATGCCGTGATGGACGCTGTGCAGGGTTTCGGGGTGAGCAGCACCCACTACCTGCAGACCAACTACAAAGATGCCCAGGGCTTGTTTCTCTGGGTCTCCTGGGCGGCTGATCTGAGGAACACCTTCTTCATCTTCTTCCCCCTTTGGTTTCACCTGCGGGCTTCAGTGGGCATCAAGCTGATCTGGGTGGCTGTGATCGGAGACTGGCTTAATTTAGTGTTCAAATGGTGAGCGTATTTTTTTAACTGATATATAATCGTGTGAAATAAGCTTTCTTTAGAACGTAACTCAATGCATGTTTCTGCTGTCCTCTTCAGGATTCTGTTTGGAGAGAGGCCGTACTGGTGGGTCCACGAGACAGCCTACTATGCAAACTCCGTGCCCCCTCACATTGAGCAGTACCCAATGACCTGTGAGACTGGACCAGGTGAGAGACACCACTGTTCATGCACGGCTGCATTAACTTGCGTGAGGGTAAAAATAAACCGACTCCCATTAGCCCACAGCTCCTCTCACTCTGCATGTGTTCCTGCCTGAAGTTTACTTTGAAGTAAATTGGCCGAATCAAATAAATTATCATTCTAAAGATCTAGATCTTGGCACTCATCCTCAAGATAAAGCCCTAATGCTGTCAGGTGATATGGTGCTTAATTCGTACATATCACAGAAAGAACGTTTCTTTTGTATCCTCTGGTTTCTGTCTGCCTTTCTGTGTGGAGTTTACATGTTTCCCCTGTGACACAGTCCATAAACATGCATGTTATGTTATTTGCAGTTAGGTTATTTGGACAGCAGCCAAATATATGAGCTTATTGAGTTGTTTAAAATCAAGTTAAAATAAAATAGTGGCGATCTTTTTCATTCATTTATTACTTAGGTTAAAACAAACAACAAAACAAAAGAATATAATGAATGAGCAGTGCAGGTTGCTCTGGCCCACATGTTAATAACTGCCTTCCTCCGTCTGTCTGTGTTACCTAGGCAGCCCCTCTGGCCATGCTATGGGAGCTGCAGGAGTCTACTACACCCTGGTGACCTCGATCCTCGCCATCATGACCAGCAACAAATCCACAAACAGTCAGTGGTGAGTCTATAACTTTATTTTTCCTTTCTTAGCCCTGCCGATTTTGGTGTTGTTTACCATTTTTCTCCATTCAGAGCTTATCGCTCTGGACACGCTATCTGTTCGGTGCTGGGGTTGATCATTGACTTCTGAGAAGTATTGACTGAAAACAGGGTGTTAAACACGGGTTGTTTTGACGTGCAGGCAGCTGAAGTTCTCATGAGAAGAGAAGAATAAATTTGTTTATTGTTACAGTGCTTCAAAAGATTTTCTTTCATGTAATCTTGAGCTGCTGGAAATCAATGAATCTAAGCTGTGTGAATTTGTACTTCAACAGGTATCTGAAGGCTCTTCTGTGGACGCTTTTTTGTGGGGTCCAGGTGTGTGTCTGCCTCTCTAGAGTCTTTATTGCTGCCCACTTCCCCCACCAGGTCATCGCCGGTCTTATCACAGGTGAGTATTTTTACAGTTTCAGTGAACAGCTGGCTATGCCTCAGTCATTCAGTAAAATATATAGTCAGAAATATAGTCAGTTATTAAGCCTGCAGCGGTATGATAAGTAACGCAAAATATCCGCCTCTGCTTTCCTAATGTGGATCATTGTTTTCTAGGTATGATTGTGGCTGAGGCCTTTAACAGAACTCAGTGGATCTACAGCGCCAGCATGAAGAAGTATTTCTACACGACTCTGTTCCTCACCTCCTTCGCTGTTGGCTTCTATGTGCTGCTCAAAGCTCTGGGTGTGGACTTGCTGTGGACCATGGAGAAAGCCCAGAAGTGGTGCATCAGACCAGAGTGGGTCCACCTGGACACCACGCCCTTTGCCAGCCTCCTACGCAACATGGGCACGCTGTTTGGCCTGGGTCTGGGCCTGCACTCTCCCCTCTACACCGAAACCAAAAAGAGCAGCAGCCTGTTGGTCAAAGCAGGATGCATCATCAGCTCTCTGCTCCTGCTGCACCTGTTTGACTCCTTCAAGCCTCCTACACATACCGCGGCCCTCTTCTACCTGCTGTCCTTCTGCAAGAGTGCCATTGTGCCACTGGTCACTGTCAGTATCATCCCATACTGTGTGAACCGATCTCTGAGCCAGCACAACAAAAAGGCAGTGTGAGCACCAACTTCATATCACAAAGACTAATGAAAAGGAAATCTCTTCCTATTGAAACACATTCCTTTGGTGCTTGTTTTATCCACACTGCCACGTAATCCTCAGGAAAAGCTTTGAGATCAACAGGAAAATGCATTTTGTGTTATTTGGACACTGAACCTTGAACATTGTGTGACACTAAGTGAAAGCACTATCCAGGCTGCCCAGTGACACTCACAAAGAACTATTTTGAATATGCGACAACACGATAATGACGCTTGTCCTGGACGGTCATTCACGACTTCAGTATAGTATTTTAACTGTATTAGTAATGTATTTTTTCAATGTCATAGAAAGTATTTTGGGACTGTTGAAATATTTTTAAATAAAAATTTTGTAAATGTTAAAAAAAACCGATTTGGTTCATTTTTAAAAATGTGCAATTACTGGAATGTTCCTTTAATACTTGACTAATGACCATTTTCTTCCACTTAGACTAAGACTTAGATTTATTCTGTTTTTCTCACCAGCGCTGGAATATCTGTTAGCGTATTTTTTTAATATGTGCACCACAATTTAAAAAAGTCACCGATTCCAAATTTTACTCAGATACTCAGCTTTCTTAAAACAAAAGCACACAATAAGTATAATATTCAGAATAATCTCAATTAAAAGAAAATAAGCAGAAAACAAACACTTTTAACTCATTATTTACAATTTATTATCATTGCACAGTCATGCACTGTACAACAGTACAATGAAATTAGAGTACTGTCCCACATCAGTGCTAAAAGAAAAGAAAGCAGTAACCAACAATAAATAACACATATGCAGAATAAAATATACTATATGTGCAGAAATTAAAGGTACAGTAGGTGCAGAGATAAAAAAAAAAAATACATACACAAATATTAAAAGGGGCTCATCAGTTTAATCCAGGGGTGTCAAACATGAGGCCCCAGGGCCATAATTGGCCTGGTGAAGACTCAAATCCAGCCAAGTGGACAGTTTTTAGATCATGTGAAGCAATGTATACATTTTAAACTTAATACTAAAAAGTATGTTCAGTATTTTCAGTGTTTTCACGTTTTACAGCTTTTCCTATTGATAAAGACGTCCTACCCTCACTGTCATTCATCCTACACCAAAATAAAAAACAATTAAATGATAGGAAAGTTACTGTTAGTCACAGTAAACTAACAAAAAACTTTATATTTTATAATTACAGGGCAGTGCAATGAACTATCCATACGTCTTTCTGTCATCATACACATTTATCAAGAGAAGAGAAGAGAATAAAGTTTAGACAATAAAACAACAAAACGATAAAAGTTGAAATGACATAAAAGTAAATTGAATGAATTACTAATTACATACAACTTTAAAATGCTTACTTACTTTTTTGTTAGAAAAAAACAACAGAAAATTGTTATATTCACACACACACACACACACACACACACACACACACACACACACACACACA